TCTGCTTTTTTTTTTTTAAATTGAGACATGAGAAGTTTAGTTTCGTTGTTGCAAAAAAAATTGTTAAACGCCGAATGTAATTTGTGACTTTATCGAACGTAATTTGCGCACAGACTTCCGCCTATACCACCTGCGGTGGAACTTGGCCGATAAAATTTAATTTGTCCGACGTATACGAGGCGTAAGCGCGACGATATACATGCGATATAACAGGCGTAAAAATTCTAGAAAGAACTTGGCAAACGTAGGACCGAGAAGAAGCAAAAGCCTAATATGTCTTCGATATCGAATAATGAATTGATGAAAAAAAAAAAAAATTTAAATAATACATCGTGCCTGTAATTAGTTCATATATTAAACATTTAATTATTTAGATATTTCCGCTTAATGTATCATGATTGAATGTAATATAATTTTAATATACGCAATGTGATTTTTTCCAATAAATTTTGACAGAGAATGAAAAAAATCTACCCTTTGGCGATGTTGATATACGTTCCAGATGTGTGTGCGTATATGTGTGTGCGTATGTGCATGCCAGAGGAGGGAAGGTAAGGGAGGGAAGTAAGGTGACGGGAAGGATACGCCAGTATCCACACAGGCTTAAATATTCATTCGAGATCAATCGGCCGGATCGGCAATTTCGGGATGTTTCGGAGCGATGCAAAATAAATCGAGCGTCTGTCTCGCGTCGCATTCAAAGCGAATTGCACCTTTTGTCTCGAGTTTAATTTTTCGATGGTGAAACGCCAGCCCATTGGATCGTCATTATTAGCAGCTCGTTTCTCGTCGCTTGCCTAAAAGCGCTAAAGAGTCATTTTCCTTTTACACGGACACTTTCAGTCGGATCGTCGGTACATCTCAAAATCGCAATGTATGTAAAACATCACCGATTGTATTTTACATATGTACAATGGTCAATGTGGATTTGCCCCAGCGAGAGAGAACGTATCTCGAATTTTCCCGCATATTTAAACGATAAGCGTTTAATCCTCCTGTTTTTGGTCATTTAATATGTGCAGAGTATTTTCAATATTAACGTGGGGCCGAGGAATTATTTAGCCGCTCTCGGTATGCAAAACACAGGGGTAAAAACCAGGGCGATTAATTGTGCGGAAAATTCTCAACGGTATCGCAAGACACATCTCGTTGTACATGTGTACTCGCGGCCAAAGTTTTCGACATCCTCCCATTGTTCGCGCGCGCGAGTTGTCAGGAGCAGGAGGTCCTTCGGTGTCCTTCAGGTAGGTACTTCCGATGGCGTATTCTGAAAAGGCTTTGCCTGTGGCGCGACTCGCGCAATTTATTCCGGGCTTGTGCTTTGTGTCGCGCGCTTCTGTGGAATTCGACTTTGGACCGAAAGCGCGGGTCCAATTTTCTTGCCTTCAATCGCGCTCGTGCTTGCCTGATGACGTGGCGCCGTGACGCCGGCATATTTTCAATAAACAATGCGCTCGACCTAAAACTGCCAAAACGTCATTGATCGGGAACACGTCGAACGACTCGAATTAATCGTTCATTCGACAGGTGTCTCGTGCGCGGCTTACAAAAAAGGGGAAAAAGAAAAGAGAAAATTTCATCTGCTTGGCGCAGAGTCTCTTTTAGATATTAGATAATATAAAATATTTCCGCATTTCACGCGTACTTCTTCGACATTTCTCTGTGTCTTTTATTCCATTTTTTTCTCCAAAGATATAAATTTACATATACATTTGATTTTTTTTAATGCAAAAAACTTTGTATGGAGTATAAACGACGTGGACAAGTGTTTATCGCGGTTATCGCGGAAAATAAAATTGTATAAAATAATCGAGAAAAATATATATAGAAGGATAAAAATTCTGAAAAATGAATCAACGTTCGGAACGATAATTAATTATTTTAAAAATAATCAATTTTTTTCAAAAAGAGCAGGCAAGCACAAAGTTCAATTCTCATCCTCTCGAATAGGATAATTTTTTTCTCCATGAATTCTCTCGTTACTCTTCTGATTCTCCATTTTCGCGGTAAATACAAACGAATGGTTCGCCAGGGCACAAAAGACCGAGACGCGGCCGAGAGTTCGGGATATTTTTTTTGTCTTTTTTTTTGTTACGAGCGCCATGGACACCGGCCAATCAGTGAGGTGACAATGATTTAGGTGCGCGTTCCTGGATTGTCACCCGGCAAACACGAGCACGCACACGTGCGTGTGCGCTTTCCCGCGTGTGGGAGTGAAGCGGCCTCATGAAACATTCATGCCGATACCGCCCCGTGACACCGCTTAACCCTGGCTCTCCAAAACGCAGTAGTCAAGATAGGTCACGATGTATTTTTGACGTGTGACAGTCACGTAATGTATCACCACTCGGTGACTTTATTAGGAACGACTCGAAAAGTCTCAGAAATGAGGCTCCTGACATTAAGATCGAAAACATTTAAGATAAGATACAGCTGGATTCTGGGGGATGAATAAAATTCAGTTGACTCGACGCTTGATCGCGAACACGAAAATTCCTTCAACACGGCATTGAAAGAAATATATTTTAACTTCACCTCCTTCAGCGGTTTATATTATTGAAAACCAATATATATGTATGTGTGTGTGTGTACATATATAATATATATAATATATATATATATATATATATATATATATATATATTCGCGCGTAACGTCACAGTTTGAAAGCCCCCCGAACTTTCGTTTTCCCATGACGGAAGTTCGGCGACCGGTGCCGATATCTGCTGACCAGAGTACAACGGTTCTTGGAAATTTCTAAGAGAGATATTAACTTGGCACGAAGGGAGAAACGACGCGGACGATTCTCGTTTCTCTCATTCGCGGTATATTACGTAAGAGGTTCAAATATATATCGTACGTTGTAGCGCGTATAACTTTCCCTTATTTATCCTAAGCTATATAAATTTCCTGTCCTTCTCGACGCGATTACCTTCTTTTTTTATAATTGCGCGGGATGAAATGAGCCCTGCGCGTCGTATCTTATCTGCAATCCGAGCGTGAGAGGGATCGGGATAAAACTAGAAAGCAACCTATAGAAAAAGAAGGAGTAGGTCAGATTAATAATAAATATCCTATAATCGCAGTTTCATAATCATCTCCTCGCGTTGTAAAAACGAGGGTTGTCCGATTGTTAAAAGACACATCAATTTCGAGCGACGCGATCTTTCATAACGGAGAGAAAAATACGATCCCGATAATGGCTTAATCCCATTCGATTATGGAGGAGGTCCCGCGGAGGAATATGCACCTTGGGGAGTCGATACGGCGAACGTATAAGCTACTTCCTCCTTACGTATAAGCTATCTCCTTCCTTCCCTCTTTCTCTTTCCCTTGCTTCCTTCCTTCCTTCTCACCGCACCTCTCTCACTCTACCTTTCTCTCTCCTTCTCTTCCGCCTCTTTTCCTCACGGAAATGGGAAGACATCATAAATATGATAATAGGTGGTTTAGGAACGGCGTGTTCGGCATACCGATAAGTTTCCTATCCGCCTTCGTCGTTCTATCTTGCCTCAGCGAGATGAGGAGCGAGGTCTCGCGTTGCTGGCAAACATTTAAATTTGAGGACGGTACGTGACGCAATTAAAAGCTTCAGAGAGATCCCCTAACGCCCGCATCCTCCCCGCGACGCCCTCTTTCGCGCGCGCGCGTATGTGCAACGATGCAGCCGTGGCAATAAAACTCGTTTCGTCTTCTGTCTAGAAATTCATACAGACATCATTTTCTCACTCTTTTTCCTCGCGGCTTGCGTCCTCGTCGTTGCGAAGACGCAATTTCCCAGTCCGTCCGTAAACAACGCGATTACGCGCGGTACTATCCCCTTTTCCGCGGCTCCGCAACGCGAGCTCTCGGATGACGATATGATGGCGGATTTACATATTATTTTCAATCACATTTGTCTGTTTCCGCGTGAACGTCATCGTTGAAATTTCTCGTTTTACAGACATAATTACGCGACAATCACGCATTTTTTTTCGTCGCTACATATCTCTCTTTCTATTTCTTCTTTATTTTTCGGAGGACCACAAGACAGGAAGCTATTATTAAATATAGGCACGAAACTAAATCGGGATGCGTTATTGCCGACGTGGGAGTGTTAAGAATATTTCATTAAAATTAATGAAACTTCGCCAACGTCACACATGCGAGGGAAGGTCGGAACCATAATTGGAGAGGTCTCGACTATACCAGCTGCACAACCCTTTGTGCCGCACACCTACCCCCTTCGGCTGCAGCAGCCCTCGTTCGAGCATATCACCCTGTTTCTATGTGTCACCTTTCGCAAACTCTCTCTCTCTCTCT